CTTAGAAGCTGGGAGTGGAATAGGAGTGTGTTTGCACACAGAGTTGGCTGTGTTTTGCATGGGACGGAAACTGAGAAACTCATGGCCTGTGTCCGGGAGCAGAGTCCCTGTGTCCCCTGGCACCTGCCTGGGGAGGTGGGTGGCCTTGAGGACTGACCTGGCTCCCAGGCCTTTTTCCTGGGAATGCTGTCCCCAGCTGTGGTGATGTTTGCAGTAAATACCTCAGGGCAGTGGCACCATGCCTAGAACAGTGCTGATATGGCCAGCATGCATTCGAGCAGATAATATGCATTTAGGTCATTAAATGTTTGAGCAAAGGAAGGTGAAACTTGCCACGCAGAGACCCTTCAGGGTGGACTTCTTCCTGCAGCCCTCGCTCTCTTCCAGTGGGTTGGTCCAGGGCCCTCCTCTCCCTTTTGCCTGCTGTCTCCTTGCCTCTGTTGGGAGGGGCCGCTGGCCTGGTGATGAGCCGTGTTTGCCATGTGCCTGGGAGTAGACCGTGGCTTAGAGTTGGCCAGAGGAAGCTGGGCTTCTGGCTGTTTTAGGAGCTGTCTCCTCACCCTCTTGTTGGGAGATCCCAACTCTGTCATGAGGGTGAAGCCCGCAGTGCTACCCGAGGCCTGCTGTGCCCTGTAGGGTGGGCCGCCCACATTCTGAGCTCCCCAGGGCCAGGCATGGCTTCCAGTCTTCCTATCCCAGCAGCAGCTGAGTACAGTGGCTGACAAGGTCAGGGCCAGACAGGCCTCGCCCGGATGGCGGCCGTAGGGCACAGACTGAACTTGCAACCAGCCCTGCTGGCTGCCTTTCTGTGCCTGTACCTACTTGACATCAGGTGAAGGTCTGTTGTTGGTGGCTTCATTAGAAATCTTGGTGGGTGATGGCTCTGTCTGGGCCTTGGACTCCATCGGTGCCCCCTCATCCTGTGTGGAACTGAGTTGCACATACCACGTGCCAGGCCAAGCAGTAGGTGCCAGGTGCTGTCCTGTCCCACTGGTCAGACCCAGCCCGGGGAGGTGGAAACGAGGCTCAAGGACGTGACTACCAGGGTGGGGCTCAGAGCCCTGCCCCCCGCATGGAAGCCCTGGGCCTGCATGTTTCTGCCCCACTGCCCAGCTTTCCTCCCCCGGGAGCCGGGTGGGGCCTCGTTCCCAGCCCACACCCAGGGAGGATCCTGGCCTAGCAGCCTAGAGCTGTTGACTGTAAACCCCATGGGGCCTCGCTGTAGCCTCCTCAGGGTCCTTCGAGGCACAGCATTGGTTACCCTGCAGCACAGTGATTCAGTCTTCCAGATTGTACCGAAGCAGCTGAATAGACCCATTTCATGTCTCTCTCCAGCAGGCTCTTGCCAGGGGAGCATCACGGAACAGTTTGCCTTAGCTTTTGACTTATTGCGGCATCTTGCTGATTTGAGGGGTGAGGATAGGAGTGGTACAAAAGCATTTCATTTTCTAGTAGCAGAAACTCCTAGTTTTGCAACCTTTGAATTATTTTTAAAAGTAGCTGGCTGTGCCCCTAACCTAGCACTAGGAGGCAACAAATGTGTCACGAGCTCTTCTGTTAACACACCTCGGCCTGCAGTAATGGTGGGCCTGGGTCTGCAGGTGAGGGGCGTGGATGTCCCGGAGGTTTGGAGCACTCCACCACTCCGCCTGGCCCTTACCCCTCTGAGGTGCTTTATCTGCTTCCTGCCTGGTCAGACCCTAGGAACTCAGGGAGAGGAGGAGGCCAGGGAGTCTGAGAGCTGACTCCCATGCGCGGTGCTCTTTACCATCCGGGGGTCCAGTGTGTCAGTGAGTGACCTTGCTCCAGGCGCCAGTGGCACCCTGTGCTTGTGGCTGGCACTGCTCAGTGTGTGTCCCTGTGAGCGGCTTCCTGTCTTCCCAGCTGAGCTGAACGGCAGGCTCTGCGTGCCGTTGTCTCTTCTGAGTCTTTGCTGTGGAGATGAAAGCCAGGGACGAATGTCACCGTGAGCCTTGGGCCCCTCCCTCTCTGAGGCTGTACCCCTCAGGGATCAGCCTTTGGCCTTGCAGATGGGGGCGCATTATCCTTGGCAGCACCCACCGTGGCTGCTTCAACAGAACTCTGAGATGATGCTGAGAGCTAATGTGGTTCTGCACGCCTTTAAGCCCAGCACTGTGAGAGGCTGAGGCAGGAAGGTTGCAAGTTCAAGCCCAGTCTGGGCAGCTTAGTGTGAGACCTGTACCCAAATAAAAAGTAGAGAAGTCCTGGGGATGTAGGTCAGCGCAAAGGTCCTGGGTTCAGTTCCCAGTACTCCAGGGGAGAAAACAAAGGTGCAGGGTAGTTGTGTGGACGGGTGGTGGGGGGCTATACCCACTCAAGTCACCTCAGGAGCCCCCCAGTCTTATAAGCCACGTCTCCTCAGAGCTCTGCGCTTTGGGCTCAGCTAAAGGCGGCTGTATGGGGACAGTCCCCACGCTCTGCTGCTCATTCAGCCTCTGTGGGAGAAATGGCGGGGGCAGGCGGGGCGGCTCTGTGCTGGGGGCCAGGGGTGGGCAGGGCTGCGCCAGACCCTTCACCTCCCCTGATCGTCACGTCATCTGTTTGGGGAGCAGGCTGTGTGCTGGGACCCAGGGGTCTGGTGCCAGGCCGCGTGCCACAGAGGGCAGAGCAGGCATGGGTGGGACCTCGGGCTCAGGGTTTGGTGGGCCGAGGAGCTCCTGGGGAGCAGCCACAGAAGGCGAGGGTGGCGTGGGAGGATGAGCAGTGGGCAGAGATGGAGGAGTGGGCAGGGCGGTGGGCCTGGGCCGGAGGCCCTGCGCACCTCCATTCTACCCGCCTACGCAGGAGCTTTGTCCTCCACTGGGGGACGCTGCTGCATGAGGGGTGAGGGGGCAGGACCCATGGTCTAGGACCCCAGGTGGCTCTGGGAGCCCCGCTGACATGGACAGCTTGGGCAGGTGGAGTGTGTGGGTCCTGGGGGCTGCTGGCCATGCAGATGGACCTCCTCCAGCCCAGGGCACTGAGTCTGTGTGCCTTGGGTCTGCAACGGCATGTGGACCAACAGCTGTCTGTCCCTGTGCTGCCTGCAGGGTGCTTTCCTCCACCACCGACCAAGGGTGCCCGAGGGTGCCCTCCCGCCTTATCTGCTTCAGCTCCTGCCTTCCCTTCCCTTCCCCAGTGCTCTTGACTGTGCAGCAGCGTCCTTCTCCAGAGGGGCAGCAGGCGTGAGCTTTTTGTGAATTCAGGTCTAGGTGTCTGCGCCCCCTGTCTCTGGACATCGGAGGTTTTCACCCCTGTCATTGCGTAAGTCCTCACCATGGGGAAATCACAAAAAAATGAAAGGCCCCCAGCTCCTGAGAGATCAAAGTTCATTTCTTGAGAATGTAAATAGAAATTGCTTCGGGCTATGAAACCCTGCCAAAATGGTTTCTATTTTCACCACAGAAGAAATTTGAGAACACAGTGAAACTTTTCTTTTGAAAGTTCTTGAAACTTTATTTTGGTATAATTTCAAATTTACTGAAAAGTTACAAGAAAAAATTGTAAGAGACTTCTACGTGCTCTTTAGACAGCTTTTTTTTTGTCCTTGCCTTATATATGTATTTTCCCCATACTAGAAGAGTAAGTTGGAAGTATTGTATCCCCTTAGCCCTCCCTGTGCCAGCATATTGCCTAAGAAACAAGGATGTTGGCCGTTTTGTGACAGAACCTCGGTGTCAGTATCAGAATCAGTGAATCTCACCTTAATCTACCCAGGCCATTTTCAGAGTCTAGAATTGAGCTTTGTCAACTGCCCGCGACCCCAGAGCCCTTTCTCCTCCGAGGCCTGGGTGCAGTGGGATCTCGCTGGTTCGCTCCAGTGTGCGGGACCCCTCGGGCTGTGTGCATGGGCACTGTTGGGGTGCACACGCAGTCACCACGGCCAGGCCTGCTCCCTTCGAGGTGGTGACATCAGCTGATGCACTAGGCTGAGTGGAGTCCCCAGGTTTCTCTCCAGTGTGGAGAGGACAGTTTTTGCCTTTGTAATTGACAATTTGGGGGAAATGTTTTCAAACTGTGTGAAACCCTGCTCCTCCTCCGAGTGACACCTCCACTGCTCGTTTCCCTTCTCCACTAGAGTATTACTGGTGTGTCGCCAGGCTCTGAGCCCCCCCCGTTGTTTATACATACTGATCAGTTTCTCTCTGGGTCATGGGTTTCGGGTTTGGGCAGTGGGTTAGAACCCACTCCTCTTGTTACCTCAGTGATGAAATTCTTCCCAGTTTGGCCATCTGGGCCTTGCTAGCCGGGCTGCTTCTGCGGGACAGGGCCTGTGTTTCTGTGAGTGCCCCTCTGGTCCAGCACAGCACAGCTCGGCCTGTGTGTCTTCGCGGGCCTCAGGCCACTTGTTCTCAGGGACAGCCTGCACAGCGGCTCCGGGACAGCATCTCTCTGTGCTGGCAGCAGGGATTCGTGTCATGTGGAACACTCTTGGGAGAGGAGACCTTGTGACCTCACGAATTTTCTTTCTGTGCTACTTGAAGACTTAAAATAGATAATTCAGATTTATCTTTCAGGTAACATAAACTAAGGGGAGGTTAAGCACTGAAGCAGCTTATTCTTAAATACTGTATATCTGAAATTTCCATCCGTGGACCATGGGATGACGTCTCCTTCATTAAACACAGGAAACTGAGGCTCCGAGAGGTTGACGTACTGGTCCAGAGTCACACAGCTAATGCATGCGTGAGCCTGGGTTTCCATTTAGCACAGCCCACTTTTACAATACCCTTAGCTATCATGTGACGCATTTCCTTACTTGGAATTATGGAATTTGTGCATGTAACGTTTGAATGACAAAAAGTTTATTTCTGGTTTAAGGCCTTCCTCCTGGTGAATAATTCTGTCTGTGAAAAGCAAGTCTGAAGCATTAGAGTACGTGGCTCACCCCATAGCCCCTCTCCAAGGGAAGTTGACGTGTTTTACTGGAATGATTCGGCTGTCCTAGTGTTGCATTAAATACCCAGAAGTTCCCTAATCCTTTTATTTTCTTCCTATAGGAATTTGCTTGCTAGAAAACAAAATGCAAGACTTGACAAACAAAATGACTTGGGATGGAAGTTATTTGGAAAAGTACCACTCCGAGAGAATGCTCAGAAAGATTCAAAGAAAATACAAAAGGTATCCCAGATGCTGATGGAAGTGTGCTGTTGTGTGGGCGCAGCGCCGCTTTGTGAAGCCTGCAGGAGGAGCAGTACCGTGGTTCTGAAGTCATTTGCATGCCAAGTTCCTGAAACTCACTTCTATGTTGAGAATATCGATGAATTTAACCTTTTCTTTCCTTATAGCTTGTCACCTGCACACCTGGAGGTTGAGTTGATTCCCTGACCTTAGATATTTACAACTTGACTCATTTATTTAGTTTTTGAGTAACAGTTACAGATGTGTTTACGATCAGATATTTATTGTGCCTGATATGAAAGCATTCTCCCACAGGGAGTTGAAATCCTTCCGGGCTGCTCCGGAACAGGCCCTGTAGGACCCCTCCTCCACACTCTGCAATTGCCCAGTTTGGAGGGATTCAGGGTCGGGTCAGGCTGCCTCGCTGCGGATGCAGGTGTCACGCCAGTGGCTTGAGGGAGGGCCCAGTGCAGGTGCATGGGGTGCCATGGCTGTGAAATTCTGTCTGTATGAAAATGGAGCAGCCCTGGGAAGACCTGACTCTGAGCGCCTTCCGACAGGCAGTCTGCTGCAGGCTGCGCTGTATTGGCCCATCTCAGCCTTCCCCCTCCGCCCTGGGGTTTATACTCTCTGGACGCAGTTCAGTGATCACCCCGGGGCCGGCCGAACGGGAGGCCTCCTGACTGGCACCGGGGCTGGAGAAGGGAGAAGGCACCCCTGGGAAACGGTGCAGGTGCAGGCCAGTGTGCGAAGAACCTGCAGGGGCCAGAGGGAAGCTGGGCAGTCATAAGGGATCCTTCCCATGTGCCTCGTCACTGACGGCCCTCAGTGGCTGTGACATCCACCGTTCCCTCCGTTTACCAGAGAACCCTTGAGGACAGGCTGGGTGACTTGTGTGGGGCTGCACAGCTGGGAAGTGGCCCAGCAGGACTGGGAGCGGGACCGGGGCCTCTCTGAGCTGCAGGCTTCTGCAGCAGGCGTGCAGGCCCGGCCTAGTAGGTGGGTGGCGTGTGCGAGGGCAGGGCCAGCAGCCAGTTCTCTCCCAGTGTGGTCTGCAAGCGTGGCCAGGCTACACGGGCCGTGAATGCTTCTCTGTTCCCCAGGGCAGTTATCCAGTCCAAGAGATGCTGTCAGTCAGTGTTGGAACCCACTTTTGTAGATGGTCATGTTTCGAATTGGAGTCACTGCAGAGGCTTATATACCAGCATACCGCAGATTATCAAGATGGGATGAGTCTGTATGCTAAACTCATCTGTGAACTTTCTAGGAGACCAAGTAGCTCTTCTCTTGTAAGGTTTTAGGATGTAGCTCAGCAGCATAGCACCTGCATGGCATTAGTGAGGTCCTGGGTTCCTGGTGCAAAAAAAGGAAAAAAAAAAGTAACAAGTACGCTACACAGTTGTTCCAGTAGTTCTTAATATCACTTGTATTGTATCTGAATTTCTTTATCTTTAGTATCATGATTATTTCATTTGTGATTTTAGTGTGAACATGAATCATGTTCTTGACCTTGGAGCATTTTTCTGGTCTCCTGGAGCGAGTGTGCAGTTGCTCGTGTAACATGATCCCATAGCTGTTGCTGTCCCTGTGGGTCACCCAGACCCAGGGGACCTGGCCTTCTCATGTCCGGTCAGGCAGGGACCTGCGCTGTGCCAGCCGCTGTCCAGGGACCTGGCTCACAGCGCCCGCCTGTCTGCCTGTGGGGTCTAAGAGCAAAACAGGAAAGTCTTGGGAAGCTCTAGTTCTTTGCTTTCTCTCTTTGAATTTTTTTTTTTTTTTAATTTAAGAGAAGCAGCATCACATGGTTATTTAAAAACATGGACTTTGGAGTCTGATGGGTGGGGTTTGTGTCCCAGCTCACCAGAGTCTGGCTGTGTGACTTTGGGCACGTTACTAAACCTTCCTGAGCCACACTTTCCTCATCTCTAGAAACTGGAGAAAAGTGGAGTCTGCCTCTCTAGATGGTAAAGAGTGAAGGAGGAAAAGCCTGTCATGGGCCTAGAAGAGGGTTGATGTGGGCAGTGCTCAGGCGGGTCAGGTGCTTGCCCGGCACCGGGTGGCTCCAAGGCACAGGAAGTGGAGCACAGTGAGGGCGGCTGGCCCTCTGGCGCCCCCTGTCTCCTTGTTCTGCAGACACCGCTCCCTCTTGGCCAGGTCGCAGCTGGGCACAGGACACCGAGGTGTGGGGCAGCTCTGGGCCTGGGCTCTAGCAGTGCCGCCTCCTGCCTGTCGGACCTGGGCCAGGCGTCCCCCTCAGTCCTTGGCTGCTAACCGGGCTACCGTGCCCATTCTGTCTGCCCGCTCGCTGGAGTGCGGGCAGTGTGGCGGATTTCTGCCTGTCCCAGCACATCCACGGCGCAGTCAGTTGAGGAGAGGCTGTGGTGCCTCTGCTCCATCAGCTGTGAGGGGCAGAGGCCCGCATGGGGTCCCTCTTCCGACTCCAGGGTGGGGACGCGCTGACATGACACTGTAGTTATCTGTTCAAATTTCATAAACATTTTGGAAATTATGTCTCCTTTTTCCTACAACACTGTGATTTGAGAGAGCTTTACTTAACAGAGGAAACAAAAACGATCATGGTTGAGAGAATCATACCAAAGTCTGGTTCTCAAAGTGTGGTCACCAGCCTGGCGACATCGTCAGCACCGCCACCTGGTGTCTGTGAGAAACTCGGGCTCTCGGACGCCACCCTGCCTCGGGGCTGAGCTCTGGGGCTGGCTGAACTGGGCTCTACCAGATGCTACCGGTAATTCCGTGCACCACCGTTTCCAAACCCATTTCGAAGGAAGACTTGAGGGGGACACAGTCATCTTTGTTACTGCAGGTTATACAAGAGGCCAGAGCATGCGGCCGCGCACACTCTGGTAACTGCTGGGGAATGAGGAGTCCAAGAATGAGGTGAGGACGATGGGCCTGCTGGGCTGCCCTCCTCTGGGTTTGGCTGTCCTGGGCTCTGGTCGGATTGGCAGGGGCGCGACGCTGGCTTGTGAATAAAAGGCGGCCTTCTTTCTTGGATTCCTTGGCCTTTTTGTTTGCTCCACAATTTTGAGCTGCTGACTAGATCCATCCCAAGTGTACAATGAAGGGCAGGCAAAACTTGTATGACCCTTGTCCTGGCCCAGAAAGGACCGTTTTAAGAGCCAGGCATGGTGGTGCACACCTGTAATCCCAGTACTCAGAGGCTGAGGCAAGAGGATTGCTGTGAATTTGAGACCAGCCTGGGCTACATAGTGAGTTCCAGGTCAGTCTCAATGACATAGTGAGACCCTGTCTCCAAAAAATAAACAAAAAAAAAGAAAGAACATTTTAACAAGTGACTGCACAAATAAGTATTTGCAGCTGCGTCACATGTCATGAAGAAGTCCAGAGTGCAGTGAGCCTAGAGGGACACCAGTACCACCAAGCACATTTTCCTGAAAACGTCTTTTAGGTGATGGCCAGTTGCCCAGTACAGGGTTGCCTCTCAGAGCTGCCTTACTGCCCTCCAGGCCAGCCCCTTTCCTCCTCTCCAGTTTCCCTGCAGCAGCGCCCCAGCTCCTGCTGCCCCTCTCAGATATACCCCGCCATGGTCCTCCTGGGGGGTCTCAGTGGGATTCCTGGGCACATCAGCTGCACCCTGTGTCCGGGGGACACACCTGAACCTCGAGTCTTGGTACCCAGCCGCCTACAAGACCTTTAGGAGATCATTTTGAAAGGGTGAATGTGAAAGTATATAGTTTGAGCAGAGGTCGGAGGTCAGGGCTGGCTGTGTGGAGATGTTTACAACAGTCTGTGAATCTTTTAGACCCTGTGGACATAGGCATGAGTACCTGGCAGTACTGTCAGGAAACCAGGTTGAGTAGAAAGTTGTCTTGGATGCACCTGAGGAGGCTGCTGATGGTGGCAGTGATAAGACAGGCTTACCGTCAGGGTCCTGGATAAAACGCTGTCACATGGGCGAAGGTGAGGATGTGGCCTGCTGTGTTTGGTTTGTGTGACAGGAAAGTCTTGGGCAGTCTCCTGGGATTTCCAGTCAGCTGTTTGGCCTTAGAGACCACCCCCTCCCCTGGGAGCTAAACATGGCATCGTTCTCCTCACCCCTGGGTCCTGAGAAGTCCCGGCAACTCAGAGGGTCTCGGGCATCACAGGTTGCAGGAAGAGAAGGTCAGGGCAACTGGTGGGAGGAACTGGCTGCAGGCCTAGAGGCAGATTTAGAATAGCAGCAAACTGCCTCCAATTTCATCTGTGCTTAGGACTGTAGAAAGTGGATTTGACTGACCTTACAGAAATATAGAGAACAGGCACTGGTCCCAGGCACGGAGGCTGAGCACAGTGCGGCCTGTCTTCCCCGAGGGCATGGCTAGACGACCCGAACGGAACTCAGAGCAGCTGCTTGAGGTGCTGGGAAGGAAATGGTGGCAAGTGGGCCACAAAAGGCGACCGGAAATTTGGAGTGCTGCTGGACTGACACTGAGTTCATCGAGATTCCCCTCTTTGGGATTTCAAACCCAGAAAGCCGGGGAGCCTGACCCCAGTAAGGGCTGTTAACATGGCTAGAGAAAAGGCCCGCTGCGGCTGCAGGTGGGCTCTGTAGGAGCAGTCCTTGTGTGTCACTCAGAGGGAGGCAGAACCCTGCTGCATTCTTTTCCCTTTTCCCTCGATTCTCTTGCAGTCAGACCTCAGAGGCTCTGATGGCAGCAGCAGGGGCTGGCGGGAACAAAGGCCCCCAGGAAGGGGCTGCTGCGAGCAGCTTTATCCTGGAAGGGGTGACTGTCAGTGCTTTAGTCTCTCTTCCCATCACCTGGCCCTGATGAGGATACAGCTTCGGGAAGTGTGTGGCTCGGGAACCACAGCAGGGAGACTCAGGGAACCAGAAAGCACCAGGGCACTGCTGGGCGTACAGGCACAGGAAAGTGAGTCTTGAAAGTTGGTACACATTCCTGGCCTTCTGGAGTTGTGGTTCCATGGATCCAAGGAAGACTTAGAAGTGAACTGAACTTGGGAGAGCACACCCAGATCCC